ATTAGAGGGACTTCCCCCGTGCCTAATAACCATCCCATTAAATTAAATTATCATCAGCTTTTGTCAGAGGCAGGACTGGGTGTTCCGCCAGCTTTTTCCTCCACTGCGTCCCGGCCGAATAAATGGAGTGATTGATGTTTTTGGGGGAGTTTTTTGACAGTCATGTAGTCCTGGTTTCCTGCAGCGCTATCCTATATCATCATGCACATAGTGTATGTTTTCCTCAGATAGGAGAGAGTTCAGAACGTTTATAATGCGGTTATTAGTAGTAATTGAGCAGCTGTGGCAGAGCTGCACACATGAAGGATCTGGAGACTGTGTGTGAAGGCAGGCAGCGCTGCATGTGAGCTCATGCGCTCCCCCCGTCCCGTCAGAGCCAGACACCAGATGTTCGCAGCGCTGCTTGGGAAGTCCTGCTGGCGCCACTCAGGGCAGAGGGCAGGGGGAAGGCACGCGAGCCGAGCCCAGAGAACGCATTCGCTGCAGGAACTGGCACATTCCCCAGCGCGCTCTTGGCCCGCTCCCCAGTTCTCCCTTGGCCATCTGTTCCAAAAAAACACTTTGAAATAAAAACGCAGCGCTCATCACTCTCTTACGGAGCAGCTGTTACAGAGGCGAGGGGAAACGAGAGGAGGAGGGGGGCGCCGGCCAAGAAAGAAATCCCTTTGTCAAGTAGAGCCAGTGAGTCTGAGGGGAAAAATGTTTTGGCACAGCAGAGGCTTGAAAAGCACCGAGCGAACATGGAAATGTGCATGAATGTTGCAACTCGGGAACCTTTTTCAACAAGTCCATTTCAAAGCAAATAGACTGCTATATCTAGTCAGTTTTGTTGTTTGGATTTTTGACTGCTAACATTGATTTTGTTGTTGCTCTTCACAACAGGAATAAAATGAAGAAAGTGTATGTGGAGAAAGAAGGACCTCAATCCTCCATCAACATGAAGACACTCTCCCCATGCTGGAAATGTAAGGAATTGTAATGTAATGAAAGTGTAAAGTGATTTTACACTGCACTATTGACTTTACTACAGCTAACCGAGTCAAAAACAAAACCGCTGTAGGCTCTGGATATGCTTTTGTACAACTTTTGCACAGCAGAAACACTTTCCAAACACAGATGATATGAAGTCAGTTCATTTTCCATTGTTACAGACTGGTTATTTATTTTTGTTTGTTTTGCAGTTTAACAAATCGTGCAGAGCTAGTTCATGTGCAAATTCTGTCAAAGATGTCCTGCCATGTGCAAGAAAGCGCACATTTTCTTTTCTTTTTGTAATCCATATAAATATGCTATTCTTCATTTTATCAATTACATTATAAACCATGATATAAATGCATATAATTCAGCACTCATCGCTTGTCTTCCATTTGGTTCATATTAACAATCTAGTTCTTAAATGGGAATCTGAAGTCTATGCTCTAGAGTATGTGGCTCTGTCAGCCAGTCACTTATGTTAGTCTGTATTTTATACATGTATCTACTGTTGAAATACTGTTTTGTAGTTAATTGTAGTCCAAGAATTCATCTCCATGACTGAAGAACTGCTTTTCTGAGGAATTAATAGGCAGTTGCTGGTGACCTGCCAAAAACATCAAACTCCAGAAGGAAACATCTGGTCATTCTGACCTGTGTGGGACTCCTATAAACACATCATTAAATCAAACGAATCAATGATTTAATTATGTCACAGACTGTATTATCTGTTGTTCTACATACATACACACACGCACATATACATATACAGTTCCGACAACCATGCAACGTGCCAGAAATGTATTAATCAAAGCAATAATGATCCAGTCATCGCATCCAAGCACAGCTCTTTTGGCCAGGTATATAATGCATTTGATTGTTTGTGAAAGTTTTACACTTTCTGTTCCTCCACTGAGCAAATAATACATAAACAACTTAGACTGTCGATTGATTAGTGCTTAGCAAATGTTTATAAGCAGTGTTTAACTACTTCCATTTAGTTAACCAGACACATTGTAAGGTTGCAGATGGCACAAGATCATCTTTTTGGACAGGTTACATGACTGATGATTTCATAAGCTGACAGCTGCTAAACAGACTGACTTGCGGTGTGTTGTGAGAGTTTTCCTCTCAGCTCCATCTGTCTAGATCTGCTTCACGTAGAGCTCACACATTTCTGTGTCACATCAGCAGCTCTGATAAAAATGAAGTAAAATGCATCGAGCTACTTCTATTTGAATATTACCACGTGATATAAAAAGAATAAGTATACGGCAAAAATAAACTATTTATTTATTTAATTATTTTATGCGATTAACTGGCTCAAAGGTTAAGTCCTGATGAATGAGTAAGATGGCCAAATCTTTAATGTTCACTTTTTTTTTTTACTTACTCCATACCACAGACTCTCTAAAAAGTAGTGAATGTCCATATCTGTCTCCAGCATTTGGTGAGATCTGCCTCGAGATCCGTTCATCCTCATTCTGCTGAACCTTGGTTTGAGTCCTTCCTGAAGGGCAGAAGCTTTAAGCTCTTTTGGGAAGGAGAGGCGTCTAACCCCTGGGGTACCACAGGGTTCAATGCTTGGCCCCCTCTCATTCTACATACATAACATTACAGAGTCCAGATCAGTCTTATTCCAGGAGAAAGTCCAAGGAGAAATTTTTTTAATGATTTGTTTTATCAGCTAAAGTAAAGGGAAGCATCTAAAACAGGAACATGCGACCATCCAAAAATGTGGCTCAGTTCCAGCAGATGTTACATAGGGGGCTATGTTAAGGTACAAATGTAACCGTTGAATGGGCAAAAATGCGGTGAACCGCAAAGAAAGTGGTGCTCTAGAACATCAGGACAATCACACCCACCTGTCTCAATACTCTACACATTTCTTTTGCCATTTGAAGATAATTGCAATGCTTTACTAACTGATCTTCCAGCTATAGCACTATCTGACATCACACATCACTGTTTCTGGGTAAAAACGCTCTATCAGATGCCAAAAACAAACTGTGCTAATAGACACTCACAGTGTGCTGTAAAAAAAATAATAATAATAAAAAAAAAATAATCACAATCCTAACCTTTTTTTCTCCTTACCAAAATATCAGATTGTGATTTCTCTTCTCTGAATATTAAAAATATTGGTGTTCAGGACACTGTGCGCCCTGAGGCTATAGTAAACACTGAGAGTTTAAAAGCTTTTAATAGCTTAAATGTGTGCTATAAATACATAATGCTGTTGAACCCGTAAATGGAAATGGACCCAGAAACAGCATTCAATACGTCACAACAGCAGATCAAAACACAGTGACATGCTTGATGACCCACATCAGACCTTCAGACCCGCTACACAGTCTACAATAAAGATCAACACATCACAAAATCACTTTTAAAAAATGTATTGTATTTACAGCATAAAAACGAAAGACACATTGATGAAGCAAGCAATGAAGCAAGTATGCCATAAATATCGAAGACATGCTAACACATGGTTGTCTGTAAAACTGCTTTGAAACTACACACACATATACGTGTGTGTGTGTGTGTGTGTGTGTGTGTGCGAATGAAGTGTGAAAATCTCAATACTGTCTTGCAGTTGTATCAATGAGTAGTATTTCTTCATCAGACAGCTAGCGTTAATCAGCCCATTAATTACAACAAACAAGACCCAGACTTGCAGGAAGACTAAAGACTATAAATGCCCACTACTGCTGCAGTCTCTAGCTAGAGATCTTTCAGCTCACTGCAGTTCCTCAAAATAGTGGCAAGAGCCAGAAAAGAACAATTTGTATCCCGTGTACAAACATGTGCGTGTGTGTGTGTGTGTCCACATGACACAAAGGCAAATGGAAATAAGAAATACATTCCTCACGTGTCAAATGTAGTCTGGGACAGTTTGCTGAAATTGTGCGACCTAAATTCAAGAATAAAGCAAAGATGAATGTAGTTACAAGTGGTTTACTATATTCAGTGTATTTTCTACAACAACGGCTCCATCTGTTGGAAGAGTTCAGTTATTGCACAGATATAACAAAATATTACAGATGTAACATTAACAAAAAATATGCCTAACGAAAATGACAAATTATAACATTTTGCATGTTCAGACAACCAGAATCTGCAAACGTTATATTGCATATTAATATAAAAATTCGTATAAAAAAAAAAAAAGTCATTGTCGTAGATTACCCACCAAACTGCTTTAAAGGGGTCCTATTATGCTCTTTTACAAAGTCTTGATTTTGTTTTGGGGGTGTACTAGAACAGGCTCTCATACTAGGTTATTCGAAAAACACATTATTTTTCACATATTTTACATTATTACAACACCCCTCTCCCCAGTCTGACATGAACGACTAGAATAATTCCTGTATCAAATGAAGGCCCGCCTTCTGAAATACGAAATGTGCTGTGATTGGTTAGCGGGGCCAGTGTGTGTTGTGATTGGTTAGCTGGGCCAGTGTGCGCTGTGATTGGTTAGCTGGGCCAGTGTGCGCTGTGATTGGTTAGCTGGGCCAGTGTGCGCTGTGATTGGTTAGCTGGGCCAGATTGCGCTGTGATTGGTTAGCTGGGCCAGTGTGCGCTTTGATTGGCTAGCTGGGCCAGTGTGCGCTGTGATTGGCTAGCTGGGCCAGTGTACGCTGTGATTGGTTAGCTGGGCCAGTGTGCTTTGTGATTGGTTAGCTGGGCCAGTGTGCGCTGTGATTGGCTAGCTGGGCCAGTGTACGCTGTGATTGGTTAGCTGGGCCAGTGTGCTTTGTGATTGATTAGCTGGGCCAGTGTGTGCTGTGATTGGTTAGCTGGGCCAG